GGGTTCAAACATGAAATAGTAGGAGGCGTTCCCATTGTCATTGAAGAGAACAAGGAAAAAATTACGGCAAGTATCCTAAATCTGGCCAACACTTATCACATTTGTGGTAGGAGGGTCGAAGTGATTGGCACATCAAGAGAAACTATGCGCCGAAGTGAGAAAATGGCAGGAGAAAAGAGAGCATAGCGGAGAGTGAGACTCAGACAACTTGAGGTCTTCGTTCCAACATTGATTCCTTCAGAATGAAAATCGTTCCATTTACTTCAATGCGACTGCTGACTTGAAAACTGTCGTGGAAGTGCAAAAGGATCGCGTGTTATTTACTGTACACAGTGCGGACATTTTGCTAAAAATTTGCTGGAATAATACCAAAAATCATTTCGAGGTTCTCATGGCCAAAGAGCGAATTCTCAAAACGATGTCCTAGAGAAAAAGAATAATCAAAACTAATTAATTTCCACCCATTTCAGAGCAATTTTGTTGACTCTGTACCTCAATCAAGTTCATCTTATAGGTACGCGCCAAATCATCCTTGGTGTGTTTCAGCGACAGAAAAACGAGCAAAACGTTAACGGAAAATTTGCGGTGGGTTGCTTTCTGATTGGAGACTGGCATGGAACGTTCACTATTGAACAGGGTGTCCCCCAAGAGGCCCATCGCGCGGCGAAGGAAGAGACGCAGATGCGGCAAAGGACGAGTCGCAGCGCGTGCTGTGCGATATGAGACGTAGTATGGTACACTCTATTTAACCTGACGCCTAACCGCTACAGTATGCGCTGCGACTCGTCCTTTGCCGCGTCTTGCGGGGGATACCCCGTTGAACTTCATGAGAATGTAGAGATGCACACTAGTAACCTACAAATATTTAGTGTTCTCTGAACGAGAATCCACAAAATTCTAAATACTTGCACCATCTAGATGTTTACCAAGGAATAAAAGGCGCTTGTGACCTTGATGGAAATTAAGGCAAGAATTTCATGAAATATGGGGACATTATAAATGACAGTTTTAAGGTCATACATTTCCTTGGCGATGGCCGAATGGAACATCCGCTCTACTGTTTCTCGAAGCAGCCTGACAATCGATACTTGGGTGAGTTTTATACCATTAGCTCATCTAAAAGGGTGAAAATCTAGTTTGGGGGCCACTTCAATGTCTTCCCCAATACCTGAGATAAGAATGAGAGCTCTCATGACTCGTAATCGACTCAAAAAGTATATTTCTAATAAGTATCGATGTAGATTGGGACAGATCCTGTAATGCCTTCACGTTTTCGCCTGCCATGGTCTAATTGAGCGGTCCT